TTTTGACAAGTTATTTCCTCTCGCTTCTTTGGCGACTTATTCTCTCTCATTTCTTTGGCGATTTTAATTTATCAAGGCGTATGTTTATCTCATCTTGAGCAACGAACAAGATCTGAACCATGATATGCAGTTCAGATTAATAAAGATATTGTCTACGGACAGATGAGCTGCAATAGTTACTCAGGTGGTATGCAAGACTTCTCAAATAGAGTCAGTGTTGGATAGCCAGATCATTAACAACATCAAAGAAGCTTCAAGTTACTCCATTGAATTCAGCTTCAATTTTGTAACACAGTTTGCGATTCAAGTTTCTTTTAGCATTGCTAGGAAAGTTGTTTCTATGTTTGACTGTAAAGAATGTTTTATCATTTTATCGATTTTTATTGTAACTGTTTCAACTTATGATTAATGAATTAGTTCTTTATTTTCAAAAATAAAAAATAAAAAAGAATGATTTCTTTTATTTTTTTCTTCATCATTTTTTATTCCATTGTTCAAAAGTAAGGGAACAAAAATGGTAGTGAGTTTTAAGATTTATGAACGATTTCAATTCAATAGTAGTATAAGAAGAGTAGTCCTCATAGGGAGTCCAAATGAGATGATTCAAGTGTCAAAGGAAAGATAAGGAAGTCCTCAACAACTTTAATATTGAACATTTTGAGAGATTCCGGATGCATTCATACCAGAATATCATAACATTCAATTCGGACACGTCCTGAGGAATTTGTCTTGCAACAAGTTGATAGTGTTTTGATCATATCTCCTTAATATAAAGTCCAATCAAGGTGATTCAAGTGACTATGGAAAGCTAAGAGAGTGTCCTGCAACTTTTATGTTCAAAGTTTTTTCATATTCGGAACAAAACAATACCAAACTTGATTGCCTAGTTGTATTTCCAGTTTGTTTGGTGATTTAATATAAATTCTGTTCTTTGGTTTTAAGGAAAAAAAAAAAAAAAAAAAACATAGCCAAAAATTAGACTCTGTTTAAATTTTCAAATATGGAATAATCAAATCATTCAAATGTGGCAGCTGTCCAAAGTCGGAGTTGGAGTAGGGAGGGCAGTATGATTGGTTGAAGCAAATCCTAAGGCTCATGTTCTCGACGGTCTAACACTTCTCCATATTCATTCATCTAATATTATATAACATCTATACAAAACTAATAAATAAATAAAATAAAGAAAAAAAAAACCCCAATGAAGAATCCAAAATTAAAAATTTTAATCTCCCAAAAAAGAAATTGTGAAAATACATTATTGTTTTTAATTGTGAGTTTAATGAAACTATCTACCACTAACTTGTTCAAAAACTCTCAAGTCAAAGTTGGACTTTGGACAGTAAACTTCTTTGATATACAAGAACATAATAGACGAGAGCAATTGCTAGCTCCTTCGATCCTCACCATCTTATTATTATTAGCTGAAAATGGTGGTGCACCACCCTATTCATCATGCCTTCTTCTTCTTCATGCTCCTTTTCTCCTTCCCAAATTATTCACAATCTTTAACCACTCATGGGGACGATGAAAGGGCTATTTTACTTATCCTAAAACAACACTGGGGTATCCATTTTCACTATTTGAGCAGTGGAACTCCATTTCCTCCCCATGTGACTGGCCTGGAATTTCATGCAACTTCAATGCAAGTGTCACACGGATATCTCTCTCTGGAATGAGCATCCCAGGATCATTCCCGGCCTCAACTATTATATGCCAGCTCAACAACCTTGTTTCAATCAATTTCAGTTCCAATAGTCTCTGGGGAACTATACCAGCTAACCTCTCCAGCTGCTCAAAGCTTGAAACCTTGGATCTATCCACAAATCATTTGGCAGGAAAAATAGCAGGTGAGTTGTTTTCCATGAAAACCCTGCGTAGTTTAAATCTTCAACACAACATGTTTTCCGGTGAGATATCAACACCCATGGTGGCTTATAGTTTGGAGTCTCTTGATCTTTCAAGTAACCATTTGAATGGATCAATACCAGATGATATAGGAAATTTTTACAACCTTAGCTACTTAAATTTGTCCATAATACTTTGAGTGGTCCAATACCTGCTACATTGTTGCGGTTGCATCAACTCTCTCATCTTTCACTTGCCTCAAAACAATTTGACTGGTGAAATTCCTGCTAGATTATTTGACTTGCTTAGTCTGAGTAGCCATAGATCTTTCTCATAATCATCTGAGTGGAAGTATTCCAAGAGGCTTTGGAGAACTACATCAATTGCAGAATATTGATGTATCATATAACAAATTTTCCGGAGACATATGTGAATCTGTTTAGCCATATGTGGGATGCGAGACTAACCCTTAGGATGTGCAAGAACCACTTTTCTGGGAGAATACCTTACGAGCTAGTAAAGCTAAAATTTGTGGACACATGCCTTGATCATGTGAATTTATGTTCAGAACAGCTGTTTTCTAGCTCTGAACAAATGGTTATGGAACTCCCAACATGCCCTTCCCAAAGCTTTTCGGGATTATACAATTCCACTGCACATAAACTGCAGAAGTTCCAATGAGCTAAGTAAATCAAACAAAACCCAACCTTCGAAACCAAATCATACGAGGATTGTAACTTGTGTCGTGATTGCAGCGGCAGTAGTACTCATCATTGGGATAGGAATTCTGATACTGGTGTTCAGACCTAGGGTGGGAAGGAGAAAACAAAGTGATGGAGAAGAATGGAGTATGATTTCATTTCAAAGGTTGGAATTCAATAAATGGGATATTTTGAGTGGTTTGATAGATGAAAATTTGATTGGAAATGGAGGGTCAGGAAAAGTATATAGAGTGATTACCAAGAAAGGCCAAAGAGTTGCTGTTAAAAGTATAAGGCATGAACAAAAGCAAGGGCATGGATTAATGGAGAAACAGTTCATAGCAGAGGTTAAGATCCTTGGGGGAATTTGGCACAACAACATAGTGAAATTGCTATGCTGCATCAGAGGAAAGACGACAAAGCTTCTTGTGTATGAATACATGGACAAACAATGCCTTCATAAATGGTTGCATGGAAAGAAGAAAGGCTTAACTACTCAAGTCTTGAACTGGGAGACAAGACTAAAAATTGCCATTGGAGCTGCACAAGGCCTCTGCTATATGCATCATGATTGCAGTCCACCCATTGTTCATCGAGATATCAAATCCAGTAACATACTCGTCGACTCTGACTTCAATGTCAAGATTGCAGACTTTGGACTGGCAAAGATGATGGCGAGTGAAGGAGATCCAGAAACAGCATCTGCTATTGTGGGAACCTTTGGTTACATTGCCCCGGGTACATTTTTTTTATATCTTCATCACTTCAATTCCCACTGCTTTTTATACCTGCAGAATCACATATATCATGGAATGCAGAATACAGCAGAACAAGAAAAGTGGACGCGAAAGAGCGACATCTACAGTTTTGGCGTAGTACTCTCGGAATTGACAACGGGAAGAGAAGCAGTGACAGGAAATGAGGATATGAACCTGGCACAATGGGCACACAAATACCAAAGAGAAGGGAACTCGGCTGCAGATGCCATAGATGAGGAGATCAAGGACCCATGTTATCTGGAGGCAATGATCGTTGTTTTCAAATTAGGCCTTGCATGCACTTTGAATTCCCCATCAAGCAGGCCGTCCATGAAGATATTTCACAGATTCTTCAAAGATACAGCGAAAACAATCATCTGTCTCTAGAGAGCCAATAGACAATATAATATTCCACTTTACTTTTGAATGGACTTGTCCCATTAGAAAACATTTTGCAATGGTTTGTTTAATTTAATTTGACTATTGCATTGACAGTGCAATTATGCAGGATCCATCATAATTCATATTTCATAATGCAACTCCACTTTGTTTCCTTGATTTTCTTAGATGTTAAAGTGATAAATAAACTTTCTGGAGCGCAATAGTAATTATATTGGAGTTCCAAAATGAATAATATTCACAGGAATTGAAACAGGCAACTTAACCATTGGAGGAATTAATGAAGCATGTTTACCTGTTCACAGGCCTCACATGCGTACGATCAATTATATACACACGATTGCATCAAGATATCAACTCTAGCAACATACTCTTAAAGTCCCAGAGTCTGAATTCAATCAGACTTTGGATTAACAAATATGTCAGCAATTGAAAACAATCCAAAAACATGCTAGTGTGGGAACCTTTTGTTACATTGTCCCAAGTATGTTTTTCATATCTTCAATTAACACTTAAATTTTTTTGATGTGTTCTACACCTAGTAGAATCACATAGCACTATACTGCAGAGTGTGGCAACACAAGAAAAGTGAATGTGAATATCAACATCTATAAGTCCTCCAATAATTATATAGAATTTCACCCAAATAATATTTCACCCAACAAACCCAAACAAATGTCACTCCGTGTAAGAAATCAAGCCAAACTCAAGTAAAGAAAAGAAAGAAAAAAAAAAAAAAAGTATTGATAGATCTATTCTCTAAATTAAAGAGCAAAAAATTGAGGAAGAAAAATGAATAAAAGAAATAGATAATTAACATAAACAAGGCGCACGTACTTAACTCATTTTTATCTATTTGAAAGTAGTATACATAAAATACATTATTTGAAAGTACATGATTTTTATATATTATCAAATAATGTACATTCAGTACATAAATAATGTACTTTTAGTATATTAAAAATGTATATTGCATTTCATGGTCCACACAATAATTTTCCAATTAATTTCTGGGTCACATTAAGCAATAGATTTGGTTTCAGTCCTTTTAGCTTAATTAATTGTTTGAAAATGCTGCAGCTGAGCCTCTTCATCATGCCTTGTATTCTTCTTCCTCCATTTCTCCTTGCCAAATTCACATTCTTCAACCACTGAAAGGCTATTTCACTTGGCCTAAAACTAGGACCATGAAAAGATTGAGAAACCCATATATAATATACTTGCAGAACCAAAGATGAGGCCTAATTACACTAGTTTTCCCTACAATGCTTTCTTTCTCTATTTACACCAGCACTCAATCTCCATCTTTCTTCTTCCACTTATGTTGCTCATATTCACCAACTGCTCTCAATGGGCTTTACAGGGACTCGCAGTTGCTATTATCCTTCAAAGCTAGCATTTTTAACCAAAGCCCACTTCAAACTGGGTATCCTCTAAAAATCCCTGTAGCTTCACTGGTATTACATGCAAGGGCTTCAAAGGGTCTCTTCTATACATCTCACAGACACTATGCTCAGCGTAGATTTTGGCTTGGTTCCTACTTACTTGCTTAGTCTTGAAAACTTGCAGAACCTTGTGTTGAAGAACACCAATCTCAGCGGCTCTCTCACTTCTGCCTTAAAATCCCAATGCTCTGCTTCTCTTAGCTACATAGATCTAGCTGAAAACTTCATCTCAGGGCCTGTTTCTGATATCTATAGCCTTGGTCGTCGGTGCAATAATCTCAAGTCCCTCAACCTTTCCAGCAACTCCATGGACCCTCCTGGGAGGGAGGTTGCTGCAGGTGGAGCAACCATTAGACTTCAAAAGTCTTGATCTTTCTTACAACAAAATTTAAGGGCAGAACATATTTGTTATGCTGTCCCCCAGTGATTTTTCCCGATCTTGACTTGTTGTCTCTGAAGGGTAATAAATTATCAGGAAAAATTCCGGAATTGAGTTTTAGGAATTTGTCATATTTGGACCTTTCTGCCAATAATTTCTCTGAAAATTTTCCTCCATTTCAAGACTGCTCTAGTTTACAACATCTTGATTTATCATCCAGCAAGTTCATTGGTAATATTGGTGCCTTCCTTTCTTCATGCTCCAACCTCAGTTTCCTCAATCTCTCCAACAATATGTTCTGGGGTAGTGTTGCTAAGCTGCCTAGTGGGAGTTTGCAGTATTTGTACCTATGGGGAAATGATTTTCAGGGGGAGCTTCCAGGGCATATTGGATATTTATGTACAACTCTTGTGGAATTGGACTTGTCTTCCAACAACTTTTCAGGTATGGACGTATGGTCCCTGAGACACTTGTTGATTGCTCAGCCTTGGAACTTCTAGATCTTTCCAACATTAATTTCTCTGGTGAGTTGCCTGTAGAAACCCTACTAAATTTGACTAGCTTGAAGACATTGGTTTCCTCGGGTGGGGTGGCAGTCATATGGGCATCTTTGTCAATACTAGCAGATATATTTTAATGGTTCATTTCCCAATCCAAATGATTTGAGCCATTTAATTTGTGTTCTGTGATTCTTGCATTAACTGGAAGAATATCGGACACAACTATAGACTTAGGCTCAGACATTAGGCTATCCAACAAGAAGATATCTCAAATCAGACAACCAAACTTCCAGAATCAGACCTCTAAGCCACAACAAACACACAAACAGCCACACAACTTCACTGTCTAGCAAAGCAAAAAATAAGAGGGATATTACCGGGACCTCCAATGCCAAAACCGAGCCTAGAGCAGCGACGTAGAAGACCGGGGCGACCTCGGGAAAGTAGACCGGAGTGGATTCCGGCGCCGGAGTGACGCACACGCGCCGGCGCGTGGACAGCCGGCAAGGGACGAAGGTGGCGCGTGAGGGCCACTCGCCGGGCGAAATCACGTCGAATTCAGCAGTCCGGCCTATCGGCGACCGGCGACTCTGCTCCTGATGGTGGTGACGACAAACGGCCGGCGACAATTCCGACCCAAACCTCCACCGTGCGCAGAAGCAGAAAGAGGAAAAAAAAAAAAAATTCTGTGTTTTTTTTCTTTATGTGGCTCTTGATACCATGTTCTAATCTCTGTATTCCATACAATTGAGTCAAGAGGATACACATATTTATACTAGGCTATGCACACTAACTATGGTAAGGATCAATAATATCCCTAAGATATTATACACACTATCCTAAGATATTATACTGAGATCATATCAAATATTCTTCTACCATATAATGTCTAACAGTTTTATCATTCAATAATTTTGTTGGTGGCTTATCTCACTCATTTTCTAGCTTGGTAAACTTAGAGACCTTAGATTTGAGTTCTAATAATGACTCTGGTTTGATACCCTCTGGGATTTGTAAAGACCCTAAGAATAGGTTGAAAGTGCTGTACCTTCAGAACAACATGTTCACTGGTCCAATACCTGAGAGTCTAAGTACCTGTTCTTAATTGGAATCTCTTGATCTTAGCTCTAATTACCTTTGGACGGCCACCTCATTTGAATATACAAGAACATAATAAGAAAAAAGTCGGAGTTTCAGGTATGTTTAATTAAACTCAGTTTGAATTGTTCCAGGCCGGTCTAAATATTTGACACCTAAAATTAAAAGTATCCAAAGTGAATTTTGGTGTAGATATGGACTGGGCAGATGGAGTTGCTAAATATTATTATATTTAGGATAATCCAAAATTTAGTTCAGATATGATTAACTCCAAGTCCAAGTCCAAGTCAACAACAATAGACCAAGTCAGACTCTTTCAGTAGTAAAGGAAGTGAGTGATGAGCAGCAAGCAAATAGAATAGAATAGGAAGACCAATTCAGCTAAGCTAAGGGTCCTAATTCTCATCACCATTATATTACATTAAGAGCTTAGAAGCACACCTGGTCTTATTAATTAGCTTATAATTGTTTGAAAATGCTGCATCCTCATCATCATGCCTTGATGTTCTTCATCATCATCCTCCTTTTCTCCTCCTTAAATTATTCACAATCTTTAACCACTCATGGTGATGATGAAAAGGGTATTTTACTTAGCCTAAAACAACAATACTGGGGAAATCCATCTTCACTTGAGCAGTGGAACTCCACTTCCTCCCCATGTGACTGGCCTGGAATTTCATGCAACTTCAATGGAAGTGTCACACGGATATCTCTCACTGGAATGAACATCCGAGGATCATTCCCGACCTCAACTATTATATGCCAGCTCAACAAACTTATTTCAATCAATTTCAGTAACAATAGTCTCTTTGGAACTATACCAGCTAACCTCTCCAGCTGCTCAAAGCTTGAAGAGTTGGATCTATCTGCAAATTATTTGTCAGGAAATATACCAGGAGATTTATGTACAACTCTTGTGGAATTGGACTTGTCTTCCAACGGATTAGTAGGTGTGGTTCCTGAGACCCTTGGTGATTGCTCAACCTTGGAACTTCTAGATCTATCCAAAAATAGATTCTCTGGTAAGTTGCCTGTTGAAACCCTACTAAATTTGACTAGCTTGAAGATACTGGTTTTATCATTCAATAATTTCGTTGGAGGCTTGTCTGAGTCATTGTCTAGCATGGTAAACTTAGAGACCTTAGATTTGAGTTCTAATAACATCTCTGGTTTGATACCCTCTGGGATTTGTAAAGACCCTAAGAATAGCTTGAAAGTGTTGTACCTTCAAATAACCTGTTTACTGGTCCAATACCTGAGAGTCTAAGTAACTGTTCCCAATTGGAATCTCTTGATCTTAGCGTTAATTACGTTAAAGGGAATTTACCATCTAGCCTCGGGTCCTTGTTGAAGCTCAAGGATTTGTTGATTTGGTTGAATGAGCTTGAGGGGGAAATCCCATTGGAGTTGAGGTACTTGCAGTCTTTGGAAAGACTGCTTCTTGCTTTCAATGGCTTGTCAGGGTCAATCCTGAAAGTCTCAGCAACTGTACTAATTTGAAATTCATTTCTTTGTTGGATAATTTGTTGAGTGGTGCTATACCAGCTTCATTAGGGCTCTTGTCTAATCTAAGTATTCTGGAGCTGGCAAAAAACTCCCTCTCTGGGAGCATTCCTGTTGAGTTGGGGAATTGCAGAAGCTTATTTGGTTGGATATGAACACCAATTTCTTGAATGGGTCTATTCCCCCTGCTCTGTTCAAACAATCTGGCAATATTGCAATATTACCTGTGAAGCAATTTAGGTTTATTTGGTATGATGGAAGTGAATATTGTCAAAGTACAGTTTTTTTCGAATTTGATGGGATTACAGAGGATCGCCTGGACAGGATTTTAACCAGGAACCCCTGCAACAGTACTAAACATTACAAGTACAGTTTTTCAATACCAATATTTCACCACAATGGATCCATGATTTTCCTTGACCTTTCATACAATAAGTTGGAAGGCAGTATTCCAAAGGAATTAGGTTCCATGCAGTATCTCAATATTCTGAATTTAGGGCATAATGATCTCTCTGGTCCAATACCTCAAGAACTTGGAGGCTTGGAGTATGTTGAAAGCCTTTATCTATCATACAACCGACTCAATGGCTCAATTCCACAAACTTTGACCAATCTCATATTTCTTACAGGTATTGATCTGTCTAATAACCAACTTTCTGGAGCGATACCTTGTGCAGCTCAATTTTTATTAATTCCTGAAAAATCATTTGCCAATAATTCTGGCCTTATGATTGCCATCATCCTCATTATGGCCAAGAATCAAGTCCAAGTTCAATTTCAAAGTCTAGTAGATCCAAAGAAAAAGCATTACATCATTATAGGTTGTGGTGTAATTGGAGGGGTACTCATTTGGTTAGTAACTCAGTTACTCGTGATCAGACTTGCAGGGAAAGGGAGAATGGAAAATGATGGAGAAGAATGGAGTATGGTTTCATTTCAAAGATTGGGATTCAATAAATGGGATATTTTGGGTGGTTTGACGGATCAAAATTTGGTTGGAAATGGAGGGTCAGGAAATGTATATAGAGTGATCACAAAGAAAGGCAAAAAGTTGCTGTTAAAAGTATAAGGCATGAAAGAAACGAAGGCCACATTTTGGAGAAGCAGTTTATAGCAGAGGTTAAGATCCTTGGGGGAATTTGGCACAACAACATAGTGAAATTGTTATGCTGCATCAGAGGAAAGACTACAAAGCTTCTTGTGTATGAATACATGGACAAACAATGTGTTCACAAATGGTTGCATGGAAAGAAAAGAGGCTTAACTACTCAAGTCTTGCAGTGGGAGAGGAGGCTAAAAATTGCCATTGGAGCTTCACAAGGGCTTTGCTATATGCATCACAGTTGCAATCCACCCATTATTCATAGAGATATCAAGTCCAGTAACATACTCGTCGATTCTGACTTCAATGCCAAGATTGCAGACTTTGGACTGGCAAAGTTGATGGCAAGCGAAGGAGATCCAGAAACAGCATCTGCTATTGTGGGAACCTTTGGTTACATTGCCCCGGGTACATTTTTTTTTTTATATCTTCATCACTTCAATTCCCACTTATTTTTATACTTGCATAGTCACATATATCATGAGAATGCAGAATATGGCAGTACAAGAAAAGTGGATGCGAAGAGCGACATCTACAGCTTTGGCGTAGTTCTCTGGAATTGACAACTGGAAGAGAAGCCGTGCTTGCAAATGAGGATATGAACCTGGCACAATGGGCACACAAACACCAAAGAGAAGGGAACTCAGCTGCAGATGCCCTAGATGAGGAGATCAAGGACCCGCGTTATCTGGAGGCAATGATCGCTGTTTTCAAATTAGGCCTTGCATGCACTTTGAATTCCCCATCAAGCAGGCCGTCCATGAAAGATATTTCACAGATTCTTCAAAGATACAGCGAGAACACTCATCTGTCTTTAGAGAGCCAATAGACAATATAATATTTCCATTTTACTTTTGAATGCAAAATATTTTGCAATGGTTTGTTTAGTTTAATTTGACTATTGCACTCACATTGCAATTATGCTGGATCCTTCATAATTCATAATGCAACTCCACATTGTTTCCTTGATTTTCTTAGATGTTAAAGTGACAAATAAACTTTCTGGAGCGGCAATTAGTAACTGCATTGGAGTTCCAAAATTAATAATATTCACAGGAATTGAAACAGGGAAATTAACCATTGGAGGAATTAATGAAGCATGTTTACCTGTTCACATGCCTCGCTTGTGTCTTCAAAGCTCGTACGATCAATTATATACACCATGATTGCATCAAGATATCAACTCTAGCAACATAGTCTTAAAGTCCCAGAGTCTGAATTCAATACTAAGATTGCAGGCTTTACAAAGTGGACACAGTTTTAAAACTGTTTATAATTATGAATATAAGTTCAAAAATTATGAACATAGAATTGTGAACATAATTATGAACACATAGTTTTGCAATTATGACTATAAAAGATTCAATAATTGTGAATATGAAGTTAAAAAATTATGAATATATAACTTTATAATTAATGAACATATAGTTCAGTAATTGTGAACATAGAGTTGAATAATTATGAATATGAAATTCAAAATTCAAAAATATGAATATATAGCTTTATAATTATAAACATATAATTTAGTAATTATGAACATAGAACAGTGGTCTACCTTAGCTTGCGTACCACAACATAACGATTAGTAATTTAGTAATTTGGCACAACAACATAGTGAAATTGTTATGCTGCATCAGAGGAAAGACTACAAAGCTTCTGTGTATGAATACATGGACAAACAATGTGTTCACAAATGGTTGCATGGAAAGAAAAGAGGCTTAACTACTCAAGTCTTGCTGTGGGAGAGGAGGCTAAAAATTGCCATTGGAGCTTCACAAGGGCTTTGCTATATGCACCACAGTTGCAATCCACCCATTGTTCATAGAGATATCAAGTCCAGTAACATACTTGTCGACTCTGACTTCAATGCCAAGATCGCAGACTTTGGACTGGCAAAGATGATGGTGAGGGAAGGAGATCCAGAAAACAGCATCTGCTATTGTGGGAACCTTTGGTTACATTGCCCCGGGTACATTTTCATTTATATCTTCATCATTTCAATTCCCACTATTTTTAAAACTTCCAGAATCACATATTTATCATGGGAATGCAGAATACAGCAGTACAAGAAAAGTGGATGCGAAGAGCGACATTTACAGCTTTGGCGTAGTTCTCTTGGAATTGACAACGGGAAGAGAAGCAGTGACTGGAAATGAGGATATGAACCTGGCACAATGGGCACACAAACACCAAAGAGAAGGAAAACCAGCTGCAGATGTCCTAGATGAGGAGATCAAGGACCTAAGTTATATGGAGGCAATGATCACTGTTTTCAAATTAGGCCTTGCGTGCACTTTGAGTTCCCCATCAAGCAGGCCATCCATGAAAGATATTTCACAGATTCTTCAAAGATGCAGCGACAACAATCATATGTCCTCAGAGTGCCAATAGACATTATAATATTTCCACTTTACTTTTGAATGGACTTGTCCCATTACAAATTCTTAGCAATGGTTTGTTTAAAGTGACTATTGTACTCACAGTGCAATTATGCAGGATCCATCATAAATTCATAATTCATAATGCAACTCCACTTGGTTTCCTTGATTTTCTTAGATGTTAAGAGAAAAATTAAACTCTCTGGTGCGCATTAGTAATTATATTGGAGTTCCAAATTAATGATATTCACAGGAACCAGGAAACTTAAGCAGGCAGGAATTAATGAAGTATGTTTACCTTTTCACAGGCCTCGCTTGCGTCTTCAAGCTCGTACGATCATGTCCTCATCTCGAACCTCTTCTATACGTCGCTGCTGTGACAACTCCGGGAGTAGGTGGTGGTCATGTTCCACCTCCGGCACCGATTCCGGCGACTGTACCACCTCCTCCGTCACCACCAATTTTAGTAACTCAGAGCCACCAGCTGCTAATTCGCCAGACAGAAATCCTTGAAAAGTGTATTGGATGCGATTGTCCTGAATTGGTATTACTCCAATTTGTATTAGTGGGGAGGGGGAGTAGTACAAGCAATGATTTGGGCATCCTGGAAAAATGACGGGTTATCCAGGTGATAACGCTATTGGACTTAAGTGCTCCAATTGACTGTTTAATTGAATTTTTAAGTTTAAGGGTATAATTATATGTTTTTATAAAGTTTAGGGGTTTGACTTTTTTTTTTTCTCCTGTAATTTAAGACAAATTAAGATGAATGATTTAATTATTTAAAGGAGCAGCGAGACCAACCATTTGTCCAAAGTCGGACTTAAATTGCTAAACATAAATGCTTTGTTTGATATAGTTTGTCTTAGAGTTTATATGAGCTATAAATAAACTATAAGTTCGATATTTATTTAAAAAGAATGATAAATTTCTTTTGAAATTTGAGTAAATACTTAAAATGGTCCTTCGACTATAGCTAAATTCACAAATTGATCCTCAACTTTCAATTTCAACCAATTAAGTCCTTTAACTTTGTAATTTTGACACAATTTGATCCTCCATCTATTTGACCGTTTGTTGACTGTGATCGATAATCTCCAGAAAAACCTTCAGTTCTCGTTGGAGCACGTGGTGGCCTCCCGGATGACGTTGCACTAGTTCGGAAACACGTCGTCTTCTTCGCTCTGGTACAAACTCAACTACATTGAATCCTAAGGGAGGATGAAGAAAGGCGACCGAATTTGGTAGATTGCTTTCGGCAGTGGATTCAAATGTAATAGTGCGGTCTGGAAATACAACCAGAACCTTAAAAAATCGACGATGGACCATGAAATTACATATATATCCTCAAAAATCACAGTCAACAAACGGTCAAATAGACAGAGGACCAAATTGTGTTAAAATTACAAAGTTAAGGACTTTTTTTTTTTTTTGAATGCACAAAGTTAAGGACTTAATTGTTGAAATTGAAAGTTAAGGACCAATTTGTGAATCTATAGTCGAGAGACCATTTTGAGTATTTACTCTTGAAATTTTGATAAACTCATATTGTGATTCTAGTCCACATTTTATATTGTCTATAATTGACTTATTCAATCGAAAATACTAATAAATAATTTTGAAGTTGAATTTGAAAACTTAAGACTAATAAGTAAATTGCGGACCAACATCTTCTGAAATCTTGTATTATGGCGAAGTTGAACTCCTACTCCCAATTTTTATTCTATCTCACAAAATTTTGATGTTAACATTTTTATTGGGACCCATAAAATGAAGATAAATAACCATCAATTCTTACCTCAAGAATAAAAATCAGAAAGTGAAAATAAATAATACATGTAATAGAACTCAAAAAAAAATGAATCTTCGGCCGTTTTTTTTTTTTTTTTAATTAATTATATTATTTAAAGTTTTATTTAAAAATTATTTTTAAAATCATTTTTTTTTTGGTGAGGATTTTTAAAAGCATTAACCGTCATTTTAAGTAAACATGTCTTTTTGAACATAATTACATAATTTTGTATTATTTAAGGATCTAATTGCATTTTTTTGAATTCAATAACTTAATTAAATTTTATTGTGGAAATGGATGGCATATTTAACACTTATATTCCCAAAAAAAATATAATACTGAGTACAATGGACTATACTCCACTATTCCTCCACCTATTTAAAAAAATTACTAGTCAAAGTGTGTGGTGTGTGCAGTCTTGGCATTTGACTTGTAATTAAAAATTGCTCAA